TAAAACAACCAAAACTTTCTGCACAGGCTGAAAATTAGTCAATTGAACAATTTAAACCACCTCAGCAAATAATAACTTTTAATAAAAATAAAGTTTGGAGTTTTAAAGGAGCAGCCTGTGTGGAATAAAGTGACATCTAGTGTCAAAACTGAAACTTGTCCTGACGCTGTGACTGCTGGACACAAAATGCAACACAATATGATTTTATTCTGTTGGAATCAAACTTTAGTTGCACTTAGCAAACAACTGTGATGTATGTAACTTTATTAATAAGTAAATTTGCACCACATTCCTAGAATGACTTGTAAAACTTTTGGTTACATTTTAGCCACAAAGTGTATTTATTCCTTAATTTATTATTTTTCTCTAACTTTGTTTAATAAGCTGCTGAATCCTCACGAGTTGTCTCACTTTCCAACTCTCTGAAACTAAAATGAGACAGTTTGAGACTAAGAACGGACAGTGCCAAGGAGTTTCAGAAAAACAACCGAGCGTCCCAGCATGTGTTTCAGTCATTGTACTTTATTTTGAAAGGATCGTAAAGTGGAAACTAGGGTGAGTGGTGCGCTCAGTGTCAAAGTCAGAATATTTGTGGGTTACAGAGCCTGTCTTGCAGAATTAGCAGCAGCAGACGTCTGTGTATGAAACTTTCATTAGAGGGTTTTATAGCTGCAGGACTTGTGGGGCTTAAGTTTCATTATCTGTAAAGTCTCACCCATATGGACAAGTTTGTTTGTTGTTTTAGGCAAAAACATGAAACAAGAGTCCTTAAATCATAAAGTAAAAATGTGAATACGCATAAAATCATTACAAATACAAATTTGTAGTGTTTTTGTTGAAAATGCTCGTCCCCGTTTCAGACTCGTGGCGAATCAGCTCGGCTCTTAAGAGCAGCGGTTCTCAAACTGGGGTCCCCGGACCCCAGGGGGGTCCACGAACCGGTGCTTGGGGGTCCGCAAAAAAATAAAGTAAAACAAATATTTTTAAAAGCATGAAGATGTTAAATGTTAAATACAAAAAACTGCAGGAAATGACATATACTTTATTCAAATTTTTTAGGGGAGGACCCCCCCCCCC